TGTGACCGGTAAAGGCGGGGCCAGAATTCTGTCTAAGGTAATTCCCCAAAGCTCCAGCAGAGGGCGCACCCAGCCAATTTTTTTCCTCGGCTGCCCGGACAGAAAGAAGTTGCCCTAGTTACTTACGCTTTGGTTCCTCTTCAGCAAAAAAAACAACAAAACAAAACAAATAGTAAAAAAACTCTGAAGTCCCAGAGAGGGCTCCTTCTGCAGGGCACAGAAGTTTCACTCCTGTACCCTCCCTCTGGGTAAATTACCGAAAGCTGCAGGTCAGGGGAATGGCCTGTTGCAATAACAGTTAATAGCAACATAAAAATTTTGACAATCCTAATAATGAAAAGGTCACATTTACAGAGTCATTCTGTTTTCCGGACCTCACTTACTAAATTCCCACAGCAGCCCTCTGAGGTCGGTCAGGTGTGATTATAACCGTGACTCAGAAAGGCCTGAGGCTCATCCTCCAGATATACCTGCTGTACCTGTTGCTGACGGGAAGGAACAGGCCCTGCGCAGGCCGCACCATCTCCCCAGGCCTGTCTCCTCGGCTCTTTTCCTCCAATTAGAATACTGGCTCCATGAGAACAGGGGTCTGGGTCTGGATTTTCACCACGCCAGGCTGAAAGGCCTAATGCTCTGGCTGGTCCACTCTCAGATGCTCGACCAACACCTGGCCAAGGGCAGGCACTTGATAAATACCCCTCGGATTAAATCTGAATCTGTCTGCCTACCTATCTATCTATCTTCACTCCATCCCTCTTTCCCGATCTGTGGGGACGATAAAGCGACGCCTCAGGACTGCTGGGAGAGGCCCCTGTGCCACAGCCTGTCTGCCATCTCCAGGATCTGACACCGCAGGATGGAGTTACAGGCTCCATCGCTAAGGAACAGGCACCCTGGGGCTTTGGCGCCTGCCCTTGCCCAGCTGACCTTACAAGAGGTCCAGTGCAGGAAGCTGACCCTCCCTGCTTGGACAGGGAAACGTGCCCAGTCCTGGAAAACACCGCAGAGCCAATAAGCCCTGGCTGCCCGCCCCCACCCCCTCAGGAGACAGCAGTTCCAGCGATGGGTCTGGGGTTCGTGTCTGGGGAGCGCTCTGACGTGCGCCGTTAAGCGCGTCACTTCATTTTTCTTCAACATTTGTATTCTTCCCTCACTCTCCGCCCTTTTAAGTCAATAGCTAATGTGGAAATAAAGACTCCTCAGAGTTGGAAATTGCGTCAGAAAATGGTCATTCTCAGACTGTTAATGACAGTGTAAACTGCCAGGGCCTCTCTGGGGAGTGACTTGACAAGATGTGTCAAGAAACCTCAACTGTTTTCATACCCTTGAGCCGCTAAGTCAGTATGTCTGCGAAGTCAGCTTATGGTAATTTATTCTAAGGAAGTAATCTAAGGTGTACATGAAGATAAATGTACACAGATGCTCATCACAGTATTATTTATAATAGTCAAAAAATTAGGACACCGAAATGAGCTCCTAAATGAACATGTCCCGTGTCCTAAATGGACAACAGAGAAGTATAGATACATACTTAACTAATTTATATCCAAATGAAATACCATTCGGGCACTAAAATATTTGTGAATATTTTTAAAAGACATGGGAAAATGTTCCCATGTATTGTTAAATGAATCCCAATGATAGGACCACACATATTAGTACTAGTCAATTCAGTTATGAGTGATTTAAACACTTTTTGTATTTTCTAAATTTTTACAGTGAAAGCATTCACTTTAAAATTATTTCATTTTTGAATATGTGTGCATGTAGTATCAACCTTAAAAGATACAAAAGGAAAAAGTCAGCTGTGGTCTCCCTCTCACAGACACCCTCCACAAGGCAAGCGCTTTCTCGTGTCCTTCCAGAAATATTCTATGCAATATACATATTCCCTCCCTCCATCCCTCCCTTCCTTCTTCTGATTGTTCTGAAAGTTGTTTTCCAGCTTGCTTTTTTCATTTAAAAATATATCTTGGGAACAAGTCCAGATCACCCTAAAGCCACGACAGCACTGATCATATCAAAACCCCAGAAACAAACTCAAAGTCCTGATACAGCTAAATCTTTTTTTTAACTAGCTGCATGATAGTCT